ATCTAGTCTACATTACATGTCAGCTAGCAGTTCATTGTTTGTGAAAGTTATTTTTAAATGCCGGCCTAGATCTAGATCTAGTCTAGATCTAGAGTTTAGATCTAGATCTAGTAGTAGATTCTAGGTCTAGATAGATAGTAAGATATAGATCTAGATAGTATTAGTATAAAAGTATAATAAAAGGCAAAATGGCATTATTCATTATTGACATAGTTTTTCAGACCTAGCACTAGACTAGCTATAGTATGATCTAGTCTAGATCTAGACTACATTAGCTGGTTATTATTTTTAGTTATGAAAATAATGGTTAGCTTAGAATCTAGAGGCATAGACTATTGAGTATTGTCCTTTTAATACTTTTATTAATTAGGCCCACCTATGTTTGTAGTTTTAAAAAATTACTTTTAGTCTAGATCTAGATAATATTTTAAGTAGGAGATAGGCCTATCTCTAGTGAGTCTAGTCTAGTCTAATACTAATACAGTAACAGTCTAGCTAGATCTAAATGTAGATTAAGATTCAGCATTAATGCCTAAGGCCTTGAACTGTGGTTGGCATTAGTTTTAATTTTGAAAAATAGTCCTATTTATATTTAGCAAAGCTGTAGGGTAAAGCAGGACACTTACTTAGAGCCATGTGGCATTAGGACCCAGTAAGCACCCCACCCACCACCACAAAACCCCCCAATAAAACTACTAATCTACTTCTGAGGTAACAACCACTGCTGTTCTTTGATAACAGAGAAGCAAAGGATTCTTCATATATCATGTATGACTCACTTGGCCCAGTAGAGAGAAGATGAAACATGAATTAATCCCACTGCTCTTTCTTCAAAATTTTTGACCCAATGACCCCCATAAAACCATTTTGTGAACTTTTTTTCAAGTAGACAGCTTGGGAAACTTCACTTTGTAATAAACCGCATGACTTTTAAATTCCATTCTTTTTTCAGCTCTTCAAGCATTTGGTACTTTATATTTTAACACCATTTTTATAACTATAGTAAGAATAGTATTATTTTGGTGAATTTTTTTTAGCACAGTGATTGTTGATGCAAAATAAAATGGACAACATTTGTCTGGGTTTTACACATGGTATAAAGTTTTGATCATTCTCAGAGTAAAACTTGACTGATTGATATAATTGTTTTATTTGTTAGATAATAACTAATCTATATGAACACATTAGTTTTGTCCACTACACTAGCTTGCATTATAACATTTATTGTTATGCGGCTCTTCAGTGTTCCTTCCAGACTTTTTCTCGAGGGGGGGGGGGGGGGGGCGCCTTTTACTAGTAAAAGTATATGTTTACTATATAAATTCCATCTTGTTCGGGGGGGGGGGGGGGTTGACTGGGATGCCTGGAAGAAACTCTGCTCAGATAGTCCAGTAGTTGTGTTTGTACTGCTAGAATTATGTTAATGTATATCATATATCATAAATATGGTATGTCTCACTAACATCCACCCATCTCCAGTCAAATACCAGGCGACTATCCTACTCACACCATGCTCACAACTTGGCGTGACACTGTCTTAGTATCGAATTATGACCTGTCTATTTCAGGTGGGTGATAACTCACTAACATCAACCATGGTCTCAGTTATAACAGTGTTGGAATGCAACTGTTTTTTTTTTCCATTTTAATTCAGCAAAGATTGTTTAAATTTACAACTAATAAAGACAACAACGGTGCTGAAGTGTAGGGCTCTGTTTGCCACCCCCATATGCTGGCTCTGGGTATGGCCCTACCAACCAACAAAAAATTAGGAATGCAGTTTGGATTTAATGCATTATTTCTTGAAAAAATATTATGACTGTCATGAGAGCCATTGTATGAACTAGTGAGAGGTGTTTTGTCTTCATACAGAATCTGTAGACCAAAAACATTCAGCTTGGAAAATTATTAATGCATTATTAATGCCTATTGTGTTGTTTTGTTATGAAACTATTCTATTGAATTGTATTTTTATACTTGCATAGTTGACCTACTCTAAATCTCTTTTAAGCATTTTATGATACTTAAAAAATAACGGATTATTTTATTTTGAGTCCAGCATGAATCTTAGATGAATGTTCACTAGGAATTTTAAATATCTACTTTTTAGAATATGAAATTAGCTACCATGTATTAGAATGAATGCATGGGGATGGTTTGAACAGAAACCTTAAAACAACCCTCTACTGATAACTATCTGGAGTGTTAGTGAAAACAAATTGTTGAGAGCTGTTTATTCAGTTGTTGTTTATCCTATACTGTTTTCACTGTTTACTTTTTTCTGGACCTGATATTTTTCATATAGGCCTATCAACGGGCCTACTGTGTGTTCTAGCTTCTCGCACCCCCCTCCCGCATCCCCCATCAATTTATTATGACATTGGAAGAAAAATATTTTAATAGGCCTAATTGATTGGGATAGGCCTAGTCTACAAATGAAAACTTGTAAGAGTCTAGGCCTTATTAGGGGACTCCCAACAATCAAGGGTCATAGACTACTAGGCCTACTTGGTCAGCCTTTAAAATCCAACAAGACAGTTTTAAAAAAAATCCAGGAGTTATACACAGACTTTACTGCTGGTGATTAGGGTAAGGTTGGTGATATCCAATATTAGGGTTAGGTTGGTGATAGTATTAACTTCAAATAAAAAAAATTCAAACAGCTGAAACAAAATTACAAATAAAAATGTCTGCCTGCTTTTTATCTGGTTGTTTATTGCCGAATGACAAAATGCACAGAAAGTTGCATTAATAATTGTTTATTATGGATTCAGATTTGGAAATCCTTTCTACTTTGTAAGATTTTTATTTACAATTTAGAAGTCACGATGTCTATCTGTTTGTTCTTCTGTATGTGGCAAATCTTGTTACTCATTTAACACCATAATTAATGCAGCGATTTCATTCAAGTGTTTAGATATGCCTAAATTTGATGCAAAAGGAGATATTACACAGGATTTAGCTATCTCTCTCTACCGGTGTGATAAACTGTTGTGAACTTTTTTCACGTCAGAGAGACAATTACGAATAATTGCAGTTTATTATTTACAGCTATGATCTCCAGCTGCTGACCTGATTTAAAACAAATATTTGTAGTCATAAATTACTAATTTTTAAAAAAACTTAAATATCGACTTATATTTTAAATTTTTTAAATTTCAGAATTAGTTAACAGTTGAAAAGTAGAATGAGTATAAAAACCTTTATAAAATTAGTTTTTAAATTTAAATACGCTTTGTTTTCTTTAGTAAAAGCATTGGTTGCCCATACTACTTCTTACTCATTTTAGCAGCCATTTCTTTTACTACAGAAAAAATGATTGTTTTATTTTCTATTATTTTCAGTACATTTAACCCTTTATTTACGGAATTAGGTTCTGAATGATATTTTTACTTAAACAATGTGTTATCATATTGCTTTTGGCACCTTTAAAGCATATGTCGAAGGAAATTTCGTTCATAAATTTTTAATGGCCCAAACATATATTGGTACTTATAAGTACCGTCAGGAATGTAGGGCATTTTTTCAAAAAAAAATTTTTTTTTACAAAACAGGAACAAACGATACAATTTATTAACTAATAACATGGCAATCATTATAACAATCATTTTTTGTAATTTTCACACATAAATACAGCACAAAAGTTTATTTTGAGTACGATTTTTACTGGATTTTCTATCGGAACACATCTTAGACCTCAAACACAGCAAAAGTCGTTGACGTGTCATGCTCCCTCATTTTTGTCTGTGGTCTTTCTGGTGTAGCAACGGTTGCCGGACTGAACATGCTTTTACTGGAAGCTTCCAATAGCTATTACAATGAGCCGCATAAATAAACAAAAGCCTAGTCATTCAGTACACAACTACTAGTAATACTAGTATGATTGTAGCCTACTAGAATGTTATGACAAGTCTACACTACATTGTAAAGTTCATAAATAGAAGTGAGCTCAATGTGATTAAAATTTACCTTATAGATCTATACTATATGCAGAAGTATTGACTATCACTAGTCTACAGGTATACATTACGTAAATGCTAGTTACTGTAGGCAAGACAGTTTATTGCAGTAAATATAACTAACAAATTAAATCTTACAACTAGAACTAGGCTTTGGTATACAAATGAAGTATACTAAACCTAGTAAACGAGCCTGCAACTGCTACCTTTATTCTTTTTATTCTTTTACTACTAGAAATTAACATGTAATTACAATATTTCTTAGGTAAACCATATGCTAACCTTCTTATCAATGTGTAAATATCATTTTTTGAGTACATTTCGATAATTAATTATCAAGATAATATTTATGTCACTCCACATAAAAAATCTGCCATTTCCTAAAAATCCTAAAAAAAAATGACTGTGTGCCCTGGCGGTACTTATAAGTCCACCTGTAAACATCGATCTAATACAAAGACAATTTGATTAAAATTGTATAGCTAGAAGTTAAATGCGTTTGCCTGACTATTGAAGGTGCCAATAAAAAATATTCGGGGTTGAAAACTTGAAAAATAAGATAAAATAAAGGGAAATCAGGAACGTGTATGAGAACTGTACAGAACAATTGTGAACTATCGATATAGCAAGACATTGAAAATGATGCCACACCATTAATTTTCAAAAAACATCGATCTCTCTAACTACCGGCGACTCAGGGGAGATAATACTATTTAAATTAATTACTTCAATAATTTAAAAAATTCGTATAACATTAAAAATAATACAGGCACTTAATTAAAGTGGTACTTATAAGTACCGTCAGTAAATAAAGGGTTAAAAGCTTGCTTTTATAAAGGTCTCATCCTTGTTTTATTATTTTCAAAGGTTACATTCCTGCATGATGCAGTTTTTCTTATTAATTGTAATTTATTATTAACTGCATTTTTAAAATCTTCAATTAATTCTCTTTAATTGTATATATTTCTCTGTGTATGTATACGATGCTATAACTTCCAATGAAATTATAACTAATGTTTTTTTCCTTTTTGAACTTAGGTAAACATGCATTTCCTCTTGCACCACCTCCAGTGTAAGCTGCAGCATTCATGAACAACCCTGAGCTCTGACACCTTAGTTGGGGGCAGTACATGATGGATCATGGGAAAGAGCTGCCTCCAATAACACTGAGTAACACTACAGTTGTGAGTTATTTAGTCATCTTGCCTTAATTCAAAATTATCTGAGCTAGTTGTAGGTTGTATTTCTAAATAGTTTCAAACAATATGTAGTCTTATTGAAACTATGATTGAGTACATTGCCAATATTCATAGCTTTTTATAAAATATGTAGATGGTCTTATAAATAAATAGCATTGGCATTATTTTTAAAGATTTGAAATCTGATAAAATATATTGTCACTAATTTTAATTTAAAATGTTTTCATTAATGCGTCTTATAGGTGTGACTTCTAATAATTTTAAAAACAGAATGTCTTAATATTTGTTTAAGTATGACTGGCATCACAACACATTAAAATGTAAACATGATCCACCTTTAAATTGCTTGTCATAATTACATTGGTTCCCAACTAGTCTCAATGCAATGTGTTTCTTAATTAATTGGCCCTCAACAAACTGGCTACCTTCAAAATAACTTCACACAAAATGGTTCATGACAATTTGGCTCTTGACTAAAGAACCAACATCATAATGACATAATGACGGATTGATCTCTAAGAAAAGTAACAAAAAGTGCATAAACATTCCACAGGAGCTTTATGTATGGCAAGGACTAAATCTTAAGTACTGTATAGCTTTATATTGAGAAGAAGCTTACTTTATGGCAGTATATTAGTGCAATCTGGGAGTTTCATGAACAGGAAGAGTTTAACTTATTGCAGATGCTGAAAATTCAGAAGAGCTTAGTTAAGTGGGAGTTAAACTCAAGGCTAGAGTTAAATGAAAAGCACATATTGTTGAGAGTCATAATTATGGGAACTGTATAGATGGAAACTGTTTTGTTGCTGGTCCTTCTTGTAAGAACCGGACTGATATAGAGTCACATGTAGTTAACATAATGGTCAGAAACTATGGATGAAGTTATTGCAGGAGCTATATTGATATTGATTGATAGGAGCTAGATTGATATTGATTGATACGAGCTATATTGGTATAGATTGATACGAGCTATATTGATATTGATTGATAGGAGCTATATTGATATTGATTGATATGAGCTATATTGATATTGATTGATAGGAGCTATATTGATATTGATTGATAGGAGCTATATTGATATTGATAGGTTCCTAATGTCACTGGCTCTCTGCTGGGCAATTTTGGCCACCACAGTTATCAGAATGTATAAGACTATTTAATGCTATTACTATTAGTACTAGCAAAACCAGAAGAAGAAAACCTCAGTGTGATGTTCTATTGATTGTATTATTTTAACCAGTAGCCTGCTCTCTCTCTCTCTCTCCCCCCAAGCAAGCTTTTTTTGGACAGTGGCACCTTTTTTAAAAAAAAGTATTCTGATTCACTACTACTTGTTCGATTAAATGCTTTCCACATCAGTTGTTTACAGAACTGAACTTTAATTTTAAAGAAATATAATTTTTAGCCCAAAGTTCGACCATCATCTGATGGTACAATTTGTTTAACCACTTAGTTTGAAGGTACATTCTTAAGTAAAATGACCATTGTAATTCAAACATTATTGAAATAAACTAGTACAATTTCTAAATATATCTAATGAATGAACCCAGGCAAACCTGGTGACGCTGATCCGTGTGCTAGTCTCAATGACATCACATGGGGACGTCCCCAGCTTTGAAGATGAATCAGACAAGCCAGCATGGTGGCCTGCAGATATTGAGTGGAGGAACCCAAAGTTCTACACTCAGGACCCTGCACATGTCAGTAGCTCAACTTTCATCATAGTTACCATTTTCTTGACTTGTTACAATACCAAATTTACTTTTTTCCTGTGACTGCAGAATGGTTTAGAGGTCCTACGCAAGCTTTAGTTCTTGTCATTTTTGTCTTTTTTTGTCCTGTTACAGCAGAATGGTATAGGTCCTACGCAAGTTTAAGTTTTTGTAATTTTTCTCTTTTTTGTCCTTTAGCCACAGAATGGTCTAGAGGTCCTACGCAAGCTATAGTTCTAGTTTTTTGTAATTTTTGTCTCTTTTTTGTCCTGTTACAGCAGAATGGTATAGAAGTCCTACGCAAGCTATAGTTCTAGTTTTTGTTATTTTTGTCTCTTTTTTGTCCTGTAGCCACAGAATGGTCTAGAGATCCTACGCAAGCTGGTCAAGAGCTGCTATTCATATCATGGTGTGGAGGATCTCCTGTGTCGAATCAATGAGATTCCTGTGTCAGACGATGAGGTCGAGGTAAGGAATCTTGTTTGAGGCATCTTGCTGTTGTGTCCAGCTTTTATAGAGCTGTTATCATGTTAAATCACTGACCACATGTCTCTTCAACAACTGACCACTTGTCTATTCAACTGACCACATGTCTGTTCAACAACTGACCACTTGTCTATTCAACAACTGACCACATGTCTGTTCAACAACTGACCACATGTCTTTTCAACAACTGACTACTTGTCTATCCAACAACTGACCACATGTCTGTTCAACAACTGACCACTTGTCTATTCAACAACTTACCACTAGTCTATTTAACAACTGACTGCTTGTCTATTCAACAACTGATCACATGTCCATTCAACAACTGACCACTTGTCTATCCAACAACTGACCACATGTCTGTTCAACAACTTACCACTTGTTTATTCAACAACTTACCACTAGTCTATTTAACAACTGACTGCTTGTCTATTCAACAACTGATCACATCAACAACTGACCACATGTCTGTTCAACAACTGACCACATGTCTGTTCAACAACTGACCACTTGTCTATCCAACAACTGACCACTTGTCTATTCAACAACTTACCACTTGTCTATTTAACAACTGACTGCTTGTCTATTCAACAACTGATCACATGTCCATTCAACAACTGACCACTTGTCTATCCAACAACTGACCATATGTCTGTTCAACAACTGACCACTTGTCTATTCAACAACTTACCACTAGTCTATTTAACAACTGACTGCTTGTCTATTCAACAACTGATCACATGTCCATTCAACAACTGACCACTTGTCTATCCAACAACTGACCACATGTCTGTTCAACAACTGACCACATGTCTATTTAACAACTGACTGCTTGTCTATTCAACAACTGATCACATGTCCATTCAACAACTGACCACATGTCTGTTCAACAACTGACCACTTGTCTATTTAACAACTTACCACTTGTCTATTTAACAACTGACTGCTTGTCTATTCAACAACTGATCACATGTCCATTCAACAACTGATCACATGTCCATTCAACAACTGACCACTTGTCCATTTAACAGCTGACCACTTGTCCATTTAACAACTGACTACTTGTCCATTCAACAACTGACCACCTGTCTAATCAACAACTGATCACATGTCCATTCAACAACTGACCACATGTCTATTTAACAACTTACCACTTGTCTATTTAACAACTGACTGCTTGTCTATTCAACAACTGATCACATGTCCATTCAACAACTGATCACATGTCCATTCAACAACTGACCACTTGTCTATTTAACAGCTGACCACTTGTCCATTTAACAACTGACTACTTGTTCATTCAACAACTGACCACCTGTCTAATCAACAATGTTTATTCAGGTTGTAGATGGTGTTGAGGTCATTCAACTCAATGACGAGGATGAAAATCAAGATGTGTCCTCAGCTGGTAGGATGTTTTAACATTATAGGGCATTAGACAGGTTCTTGCTACTTCTATATTAACCCATATTATCCCAAGGTCTCAAATTTTTATAATTTTTTGATATGGTTTAGCTTTTGGGCACTGAATAAAGGAACGACTATGGATTTTTTTTTTAAATCAATACTTTTTTAAATATCGATTTTTTAAAAAACGTCCCATAAATGGGACGCTAGCAACGAATGGCCCCATGTACATTTATTGAAAAATAAAATCATTTATCACGAAATATGGCTATTCACGCGAAAATTAAGCTGTATACTGATTTTTTTGTATTGTTAGACCAATGATTACATTGTTTAGGACAGCTAAAAATACTGATAATGATCAATTGGGTTAGCCATACCATGGTCTAAAATGCAGAAATTATGTTCAAAAGTCTAGTTTTCTTTCAATCTAACATCCATCAAAGTGGTTAACACTTGGAAATAAGTAAAGCTGTGACTAGTACATCTAATGAGACACACATGATCACAAATATTGTTATTATTTATCGAAAATGTAATATAATTAAATATAAATAATTGATTTTTTGGTGGGCGTACTTGAAATTTTCAGGGGTGGGGACTTAAATTTCAGGGGAAGGGTGGACATTGGTAAAAGTATGTTTTGTATATAAATTCCATTTTGTTCTGGGGGCAGAGCCCCCCCCCCCCCCCCCCCCCACCTTCCTCCGAAATGATGCCTGAAAGAAACTCTGCCCTCAGTGAATTTGCAAAAGATGATCCGGTCCAGTCCCAGATGTCATCCAGCCATCTTCTCTTTTGTTACCCTCGCTATCCCCCCCCCCCCCCCTCACAGGCGTACATTAGGACATCACACATCTTATTTCTAGGGCACGGATCCGTCTCTGGGGGCTTGTATTGAGTGTTCATGGCTCTCATCCATGTATGCACCTCACTATGCAAACGGCTCCCAATCTAACACCAGGGATCTCCTAAAAAAGTTAACAAAGTAAAACTGGTATTGGGAACCTTTGGAGGGGAATATTATTGGGGCATGACAGCTGTACACAGCTAATTCACATTTCTGCTATATGTAGTTTAAGCTCTCGTATATGAAGAGAGTTAACCAACCCCCATGACTGAATCATTTCACCTAAATCGTGGCCATTGTTATTATTCTGGTTTGTTATAATTTTAATATCACGCGCTAGTAAATTTACAGCAATACTAAATTAGTTTGTATTCAATGGTATTAAATACTTCAGTAAGTGTAATTCTGAAAAATTAAAAATAAAATGTAAGTTTTTCAATATTTGCTATTTTTTAATACAATAATATATAAGAAAATATAGCTCAAGGTCATAATTAAATATCTATAAATACTACTTAACACCACAAAGTCAACAGTACACACAGTCAACAATTGTTTCACCATAATAAATAACCATTTAACATAAATATTTGCATCTGTGTTTCTCGCTAGTGTCCAATAAATGTGACGTTTGTGTAACAATCTGCATAAATATTGGTCAAGGTCATAACTTAATATCTATATATACTACTTAACACCCCAAAGTCAGCAGTTAACAAAGTCAACAATTGTTTCACCATAAATAACCATTTAACATAAACATTTGCATCTGTGTTTCTCGCTAGTGTCCAATAAATGTGACGTTTGTGTAACAATCTACATGGGGCCATTCGTTGCTAGCGTCCCACTTATGGGACGCTTGTTGTACACTTGTTATAACGAAGTAGTAAAAAAAAATGTTATTCTTAAATTTTTATCAGATAGAAATATGGTACTGCTACAAGTTTCAATGTATTTTGCACTTAAAATGTTAATATTTTAGAAGATATGCATTTTCCTGTGCGCATGTTTTCTTTTTTCCGCCATTTTGACAAGTCCTGCAAATCCGGCACTATAACATTTTTATAAATAAATTTTTTTCACAAAACACACACAAATTCAATAGTCTAGCCATTTTCAAATACAATGAAACATAATTTGTGTTTTAACTAGTTTTTAATAAATTTTAGCAATTTTTTTTACAAGCGTCCCATAAGTGCGACGCTAGCAGAATATGGGTTAAAATATGAAATTGTATCTGTTAGGGATTCATGTAGTCCAAATTTTATCAAATTAAATCATAGCTGTTTTTGTTTTATCACCTACTTATGCCCAACTATTAAAACATAATTGTTTGATGTATTTTGTTTACATTTTCTAGCGTAAAAATATAATCTGTTATGCATGAGTTGAGAGACTTTGAATTCTAAATTATTTCAAACATCTGTTATTGATGATTGATTTCTAATTGTTTGGTGTTGATTAAAGTTGATAAACTTTTTTCTAATTTCTGTTGACCAGAGAGTGAAGGGCCGGTGTTTGTATGCTGCTTCTGCCTTAAACAGTTCTCCAGACATGACGCTGTCCTTGTCCACCAGAACATCTGCCGGGAGAACCACAAGGACTCTGGTTCTGGCAGTGACTCTCACAAGGATTCTGGTTCTGGCAGTGACTCTCACAAGGATTCTGGTTCTGGCAGTGACTCTCACACATCTGAGCACAAGGTTACCACTCACCAAGCTTTTGCTGGTGGAGATGCCATGGTTAGTCTACAAAAGCCTGCACCCAGGGAGGAGAAGCCACACCCCTATACAGCACCCTCTTCGTTGACCACAGTAAACAAGAAACCTGTGGTCAGCTTAAAAACACGGAGTCAGAAGAAACTGGATCAGATTATGGAGAGGCACAACCAGAGGAGGCTTATGATAAAAGAATGTAAGGAGATGAAAGAAGTTCCGTCCACGGGGGCCTGGTGGGTGGGAAACAGACAGAGGAGACGGAATACAAGTCACTATCAGCACCCCAGCAGGTACTTGTCACAAGATGCATTTCTGTCAGCCACGTGCCTGACCAAGAAAGCTGATCTAGAAGCCAAGAGTGAGGTAAAACAAGAGATAGACTTGGACTGCGAGATTGTATCCGTGGAAGGTCCACTGAGTGCCGTGCCCCCACCCTCATTTGTGAAACCACCATCAGCGTCCCCGCGTGCGTCCAGGTCGCTGATATCACAGTTGAGTCGGGACAGTGAGACCAGCTCTCGTAGAAGGCTAAGTTTTTGTTTTGTTGAAGATGAATGGGCTGATAAAGAAGCTCTAGAGGAAGGCAGAGATCCTCTCCAGATTTCTTTATTAACCCTGGACCTTACTTCACCCTTAGGTCAGCGCATTAAAAAATATGTCAAAGGTGAGAGTCACCTAAATATTATTAAAGACATTGAGGGTTATTGCAGAACTGAAGTAGACAAGGACAGTTACAATAAATTAAGGTATCGAAATAATGAGTTTCGAATAACTTTTAAGAAAAAGAGAAGAGGGTCTACTTTTGTTCATAAATACAAATTTAATCGTGAAGACAAGTTAGAATTCGACGAGCATATTCGAACTGGCCTGAGCACAAGGAGCAGACGCCTGCAGAGGAGGTTGCCAGTGTGTAAAGTTTTATTGAAAAAACTGTCCAAGGCTGAAATCAAGTCCTGGACTGAGGAAAGAAAGATAATCATAGCTGAGAATATTATTTATGATGACGATATCTGCATTACACAAATTGACATACCCGAGTCCAAAATTCAAGGGTTCCCGCAAGAGAAAAAAATTACACAGAACCCTGTGTACAATGCAAATCAACGATCCTCGCCATTGCACCAAAATCATTCGAGTCGCCCTCACCATCCTGTAAACAGGCCAGCGTTCTCATCACATCTGCCGCCATCACCACCTCATGTCCCGAATATTTTCAGGAATCGAACCACTCACACCCCATCACCGCCGAGGAACTCTCCTCACCACCACCCATCATCCAGGTCAGTAAATCCAGCCGCTCGCCCGTTGTCCAACACCAGGTTCACCTCGGGCATGAATGGCCAGACACCTGTAGCCTCCAACCATCATGTTAAAAATGGTAACTCCAGTCAGAGAGTGGATAAATTGCCCTCGTCTGCCCACCTTAGTCGACACACATCTCTTGCTCCTTCAACCTACTCTTTGGATAATTCTGCTTCTGACAGTACTCCACAGCCCAATAAGTATAGTCAAGGCTTTAACAGTCGGAGGAAACAGCAGTTAACCACACGGGAATACGATGGAGGGCCTTTTTCTCATGTCAATGGCAATAACACTTTTGGTGTTGTGGGCCAGCAAAGTGCAGGTGTAAAAAAACAAAATGGAGGCACTGGCCCTAATGTACGGAGACTATCAAACTTTGATTATTTCAGTATATGGGATGGTAAAATGCAGTCCTCTCTTGAGAGTCAGCATAAACCTCAGGCATATGGAGATACTTACTACATCACAGACACCCCCAAGTCTAGACCCCCAACTTTGTCCACCCTGCAGCACCGCAGACCCCCACAGACTAGTTTTTCATTGAACAACCGCAGACCCCCACAAACGAGTTTCTCTACAAGCAGGCCTAGATCAACAGCTCAATCCAATGTACAGAATATACCCTCCAGCAATATGAAAGGAGCCAATCCTAGAAACTCTTTAACCCCCAGCATTCCAGTATTGAAAAATACCAGACCCAGCCTGCAAGAACCCAGTGCCCAATCCTCCTCCCTGATGGAGCATTTGAAGAACACTGTTTCGGTTCCTTCTACGTTTTTAAATGATGATGATGACATCCAAGAAATAATATGTATAGATGATGATTAAATTTGCTGAGGGTCAATGTTGTGTGACAATAATTCCAAGACTAAGACGGGTATGGTAATCATCACATTGTGCTCATCATTTCTTCATATGGTCTCATTTTGTATTTGGTTTCCCCATACAAGCATTTTGTAACATATTATATGCTGCACAGTTGAATTGAAATCTGCACATTAAAAATTGAGCATTTATTATATTTAATTTAATGTTTCACAATCTGTTAGAAGAACTAAGCACTCGTTGTACAAAAAAGCTTTTAAGTAATGTACTGGCCACCATTCATAAGGTTTTTAAGGTTAGATTGGGCATTGTCATTCAGTTAATCAAATGATATATTAAAAACCGGAGTTTGCTATGAATAAAATGTGTGTAATTAAGCATTATATAAAACAGTAGCTTCAACACTTTAACTGGGTCAGAAAGAAAACTAATGGAGTTCAAGGCAATACTGGCAAGCAATAAATAATTTAAAAATTTTCATTTCTATCTAGATCAGAACTATCTGCTTTCTTTCATTTTTTAAGTTTAGATAGATAAATTACTTGATAGGTCTTGAAGAGTTACATCAATCTTTGTTAAATGGTATGTCTTTAGAGAGGATTTATTCCCAGTTCTTCACTAGCCAGTAATGTTAATAATGAAATTTGAAACGTTTGTTAGCCTATTACAATTTTAAACTGCTGGTTACATAGTGTAGTAGTCTCCCTTTTTGTGTTTGTACTAGTTTGTTGTATCTTACACTGCAAGTCTGTGCTATATACCATATGTTAATATGACAGCTTGCGTGCTTTGTTTAAGACAAAGCTTGCTTATACAAGTGTAAAACCTGATTACTGAACATAAGGATAGCCAGTTATTGCTGAAAAACATAGTTTTTCTAGTGTCAAACATAAAAATTCCTTTTAATTGTGTAAAATGCAGTTGCTAAATGTCACATTATTTTAGAACAAAAATTCTTGTTTTTAGTGTCCAATACTTAAAGCTACTCATGCCTCTTGGCAAATGCAACATACCATTTTTAGAATATTTTGTGCTTTAAATAGTTTTAAAATAATTAGATTTTTCATAATTATTTTTTTTTCTGCAAAGAAATTTACAAATTCAATACAGTATTATTTATATTTTATTAAGTAAAAAGTGGGTGCTCTTAAAAATTACAAAACATTTTTTTACAGTCTTGGTTTCAAGATTAAATTCAGTTTTGTTTATTTATTATCAGTTTAGGCTAGGAATTAATTAAGAATTTGTTGAGGCTTATACTAACCTACTCTTAAACAAATGTTAAGTATTCCTATTATTTATATGGTAATGACAATTACACAAGTCCACGCTGATGTCATAGGTAATGCACTATCATTTTATTGTTTGCACTGTGGTTGCACTAAAATAGTGTGTGATCTGTTTATTTTATGTGTATTTTGTTTTTAACTGTCAGAACTACAGCAACGCACAATATACTTTAGTATTTGAAACAGGATACTGAAGGTAATATTTATTTTTAAAACAGGCACATACTACAAGAACTGCTTTAGATTATTTTTCTTGTACAGAATTAGTGAATGTAGAGCCACTTTGTTGATAACCATAGTTAATTTTTTTTTTTACCAATCAAACCTTTTTTAAAGATTCTTAGTTTGAAACGGACAAATTAATATTTGAAATATAAACTAAACTCTATGAGTTCAAATAATGTGTTGCTAGGTAAAGCACTTAAGCTGCTTTACTTTCAGATTTTTTTTCCCAACCAATTTTTGAATGTAGAAATGTTTTAGATGGTTTTATTTAAAACTAGTATTACTATGTCGACCTTGTTTCATCACTGTTTAAAGCTTCATCTTATATAACCATGTTGTCCCCCACCCCCTTACCCCACTTTGCCTGTCTGACAAAACAGTCAATGCTTTATATTGTGACATTATTTTGTGATCTTGTACATTTGATTCATCTAGTATTTGATACTCATGCAAGTCAGTTCCATGATTAAATTAAATAATTGATTCTTTTAACTGTGTGTAGTTATTTCTTATTGTGAGGTTACAGTGTCGAGGAGAATCACATGGCCTGAGCAGATTAACATCTCACTTGACTTGTTAGAAACCCATACTGATCTCTCATCACATCTCTTCTCTCTCCACATCAGTCTCACCTCCACACATCAGTCTCACCTCCACACATCAGTCTCACCTCTCCACATCAGTCTCACTCTCACCACATCAGTCTCACCTCCTCTCCACATCAGTCTCACCTCTCCCCGCATCAGTCTCACCTATCCCCGCATCAGTCTCACCTCTCCCCACATCAGTCTCACCTCTCCACATCAGTCTAACCTCTCCCATCAGTCTAACTCCTATCCACATCAGTCTCAACTCCATATCTCACCTCTCCATATTAGTCTCACCTGCTCTCCACATCCAATTTCTCTCCCTTACAATTAGCTAAAGGTATTACTGCTAACCATAATATCCCACCGTATGCCAAAGTCATTGAAACTCTACTGCACCTGCACCATGGGAAAAGATGACAGTTCACCTTAAGTCGCTCACTAAAAAGCTCATGAAATTTGGATTCTTAATCCGAAGTGCGACAAACAATTATCAAGTTGTAATGTAAAAACAATGCAGGCAGTGGTTTTGCTTAAACAATGTATGTAAGCTATTTTAATACATAAATGTATCTAGTGACAAAAAAAATCAAACAAATACAATTTGTATAGCTAATTGTGCATTGACATACAATTGCAGGAAACAATAGATACAATTATGCATCAAACAAAAGTTAAATTATTTTAAATTAATCTCAACAAAAGCTGCACAGAATATGATTTTCAATCAATAACGTCGGGCAATAATTTTTTTCTAGTCTCTTTATTGATTTGTTACATGTTAGGTTTTAAATATTTTAGTTCGTTTAATCAAATTAATTTTCTTTATTCTTGGTTTGTACAATATTATAAATTAATCTTGCTATAATCTTATCAACTCTACTATTTTTAAAACAGATTTCAGCAACATAACTAAACCTAAAATTTGGCTTAAGAAATGCTCTTAGTAGTTTTTCTCTTCATACATTTTTCCTCATTACTTGAGTTTTAAAATTTGCTCTGATTATTAAAAGAATTATACAAAAAATAAAGCGGTTGAAATAGATCACACAAGAGTAAAAATTATCTAATAAGATAATGCAAAAATATTTTCTGATTATTTTTTTATGTAAAACTTATAAATACTGGCATACTGAGTGGGGAATTGGAGGGCTTAAGATTAATGAAATGCATGCGAATAAATTATGGGTATACATACTTAAGCATTTTAAAATTACATTATCAAATTCAAACATGTCAAATACAAGTTATATATATTCTAACTAAAATAATATTTTAAAAAATTATATACAATCTGAAATATCCAATTAAGCTGCACATCACTGTCAAGCATTTCTGCTAACCAACACACCATTTCAGTTTTTTTCTAAAAACACTGGTAAATGAGCCTACAAGACATTCAAGTAATAAATGCAGTAACATTCATGGCACAACAGTAAAAACATTTTTTTTTTCTTATTTTGCACTGGTAATTAAATGGCAAAAAATTTATTTTTATTTTGCGCAGGTGAGTTGAAAGGTTGACAATGAGTAAACAGTCAATCGCAACCACTTTGAAACAATGTAAAAAAATCTACTTAAGATGGGCAAACAGAATTGTCTTTGGATCTTTATAATTTATCTTATAAAGTAAATTACACAAGCAGGGGGAGGTGAAAATATAAAATACTGAAATGTGAAGAAAATTCTAGATCACCTTTGATAGGATAAATTGGCTTAATTATTGGTAGTATTTCTGAAAAGTTGACCAGTGAACATTATTTTACGTTCTTGTAGTAGAGATGTAATTTGTCAGGCTGTTGTGGTTCAATGAAATAATGACTAGCTGTTGCAATGATATAAAATACTGACCGGCTGCACTAAGAACAAATAAAACCAAGTTACTTCATCAAATAAGATAACAGTGGTATTAGTGACAAAGAAAATTTGGTTTACAGTAAAAAAAACACAAGTGTAAGGAGCTACTGTAGGAGATCAGTTGATTGTCTGCAAGAATTGAAAAACTTTGAATAATAAAACAGTAGAAAATACAAACAACAGACATGGGTAAATGCCTTAAACGGTAAGCATAAAATATATAGTAAATATTAATAAAATACTGGTAATGTATAAGAATATTTGTTTTCTTTGTTTTCCACTGGATCCAAGTTTTATATTTATTTTATTTCCATGTCAACAGGTCTACTTTGTCATCATTTAGCACACTTAGTTTGGTATGTGAAACAAAGAAAAACCTCAACAAATTAAGTTTAAAAACCTTTTCAGTCAAAAAAAAAGAAAAGTTCATTACAAATTAGGTGAGGGGAAAATAAAAGCACACCACTGGCTTCAAGGATATCAAATAATTGTGTTTGTACAAAAACAATAATCACAAGTAAAATTGTGTACAAAACAAATAAATGCAATCAATCTGGTAATTGTTTTTTTTTTTAGAAAAATGACTTACTTAAGTAGCACCAGCATAAAATATTTAAAATAACATGCATAAATAAAACAACATAAGAAATAGGACAACCAAATTTCTATTAAAAAAATCTTTTCAGTGAATAGAATTACAAGTAAAATAAGCCTTCAAAGGAAAGAAATAATTTTAGAACATTTTTTAGAATGCATACTTAAATATAAATGTTTGCATATTATTAGTGAATAGTAATGGGCCTACCCATTTTTAAAAAAAAGCATTGCTTTCATCTTGTAATCAAACAAAAATAATTATACTGTTGTAATGTTTTGCTCAGTGAAATTAGCAGTATGCAGGAGCCCACACAACACTGAATGAACCAGAAAACTGAATGACAGCAGGGTTGAAAATGTGTGGACAACATACAATGGCTGTGCAATGTAAATTCAATAAGAAAGGTCAAAAATCACATTCATTCATTTAAGAAATACATTTACGTAGAACTAGAAAAAATATATTTAAGTTCGGCTGTAGTAAATTAAAAAAAACAAGTAGGATACAGATATGTTAAATTAATGACATCTGCAATTAAGAAATATTAATTATGCTTATAATCACAGTAGTTATAGTAATATATGACAAACATGATCTCATTTAATTTCTGCTATTATAAAATTTTTGGTACTTTCTATTATCAAAAAGCTTTTTTTTTAACTTTAATATCTGCCCTAGGCATATAGATTGAAATAGTATATTGGGATTTAGTATGCCTCATCTACCTGGAATGGGCACAAAAATGCTTGTTAAAATGAAGTGAAGATAAAAAATGTTGTTGTTTTGTCAGCTTAGGCATGTAACATGTAGTTAGCACAATCTCAGCATTTAGCTACCATAGGATTTACATTTAGTTACAGGTAACATAAACTGTTTCACAACACAAAAGAACAGGAACTCTCATTAACAAACATTTTCATTCCATCTTTCCTATATCTTAGTAAAATGGAGTACATTCAATCTCAAATGATTTTATAAACTTTTAAAAACAATTTGTAAAAATTGAATATTTAAAATAAAAGCAGTAAAACATATGTTACACTATTGCATTGGTGGCTAACCTAGGTACATATCATCATTGTTGGCTAACCTAGGTACATATCATCCCTGTTGGCTAACTTAGGTACATATCATCATTGGTGGCTAACCTACGTACATATCATCACTGGTGGCTAACTTACTTACATATCTTCAAAGTTCACATTCATGTGGTTTATCCTATAAAACAAGGCTGAACTCATCACACATGTACTTATCACCCTGACACATTCAACCTTTAATCCCTTTTTGACGACAGCAAGGCTTGAGCACTGTCACACATTTCTGAGTCACTCACGTCTGTGTCCATATGTGCATCCGTTTCCCCGTGTGCACCAGCACCTATATGTGCACCAGCGCCCTGGTGTGCACCAGGTGCCACGTTCATATAATTCAACTCCAGTCTGCCCCCCTCCCCGACAGCATCACAATCTTCCTCCTCAATGGCATCGGGTGTGTTAACGTTTAGCGCCCCATGGTGGCTAGGGCGTGGCATCTCTAGGGCTTCCTCATACGAGGGTGGCAGTTCGGACCCCCCGAGTGAGACAGCATCTGATTGATCAGCCATGCCATTCTGAGTATCAGACTGGGCTGTTGAGGGGACCGCGTCAATGCCAACCCTCATAGGCTGGAACATGAAGTACGGGCTGTCATCACTGTCCCCTGGCTTGTGTTTGGCCTGGTGTGTCTGAGTTGGATTTGATCTCCGTCTAGCAGGTGAGACTGATGTCACAGCTGTGCTGCTGCTGCTGGTGGTTTCACTGTCCAGAGGACGGAATCTTTCAATGCGGCCATCTGGATGAACAAAAGCTATTTGGGTCCCTTTGGGCCGAGGTCGTACTAAAAAAAAAGTAATCAACGATCAAAATTTTGTAATTAAATTTTAATTTAGGGTGAAATTAAAACCCTAAAATGTAGACTTTCTTAAATGTTACTTTTGAAACCATTATGTGATCTAGCAAAAATAAAGCCCTTTTGGTGTAACAACACGTCTACCTGGTCTAGTGGTTATCTATATATATAATTCTCTTCTTGGAGACGATAGAAAACACCAATCTGTAAGTGCGCTCCCTACCACCCCCACTCCTACATGGTCTGGTGAACTGTGGTTCACGCTAAATAATTACAATCGTAGAGCCGGGTTTAGTGATGGCTATTAGGGGCAGATAATGTGGTTTGAAACAATTTTAAACTTAGGGGAGGTAACTAAGAGGAGTTTGCTTTCAAGGGGGGTGGGGTAGGGGTTAGGGAAAAGGAGGGGGTATTGTCCTTAACGACCATCTGATAAAGTTTTAAAGCAAATATTTTCAGTGGCAGCATTGGTACTGTCGAATTCACAACTTATGAATGGCTGAAAAGTAGAAAATAAAACAACTAAATAGCGGCGTATGATACACTGCGGGTCAGCTCGTTATCTTTAATGGCCCAAGGATCTAAAGACTACAAGCACGCTTGGTCTAAATACAATGAGCCCACCTTAGTTTAAATACAATAAGCCCATTTGGTCTAAAACTATCAAGCTTTACCTAAAGATTATGAGTTTACAAGGTCTAAAGATAACCACAGCAGAAGAGATAATGAGACTAGCTTCCCCTTAAAGCATGCTGTCAATTTTCATCATGTCTAACTGAACCACTCCCATTAACCTACACATGAAGTAGACATCCCAGTGTACCATATTCAAACTTCAACATTGATACACATGAAGTAGACATGCCAGTGTACCATGATGCCAGTGTACCATGATGCCAGTGTACCATGATGCCAGTGTACCATGATGCCAGTGTACTATGATGCCAGTGTACCATGTTCAAACTTTCAACATTGATACACATGAAGTAGACATGCCAGTGTACCATGATGCCAGTGTACCATGATGCCAGTGTACCATGATGCCAGTGTACCATGATGCCAGTGTACCATGATGCCAGTGTACTATGATGCCAGTGTACTATGATGCCAGTGTACCATGTTCAAACTTTCAACATAGATACACATGAAGTAGACATGCCAGTGTACCATGATGCCAGTGTACCATGATGCCAGTGTACCATGATGCCAGTGTACCATGATGCCAGTGTACCATGATGCCAGTGTACCATGATGTCAGTGTACCATGATGCCAGTGTACCATGATGCCAGTGTACCATGATGCCAGTGTACCATGATGCCAGTGTACCATGATGCCAGTGTACCATGATGCCTGTGTACCATGATGCCAGTGTACCATGATGCCAGTGTACCATGATGACAGTGTACCATGATGCCAGTGTACCATGATGCCAGTGTACCATGATGCCAGTGTACCATGATGCCTGTGTACCATGATGCCAGTGTACCATGATGCCAGTGTACCATGATCCCAGTGTACCATGATGCCAGTGTACCATGATGCCAGTGTACCATGATGCCAGTGTACCATGATGCCAGTGTACCATGATGCCAGTGTACCATGATGCCAGTGTACCATGATGCCAGTGTACCATGATGCCAGTGTACCATGATGCCAGTGTACCATGATCCCAGTGTACCATGATGCCAGTGTACCATGATGCCAGTGTACCATGATGCCAGTGTACCATGATGCCAGTGTACCATGATGCCAGTGTACCATGATGCCAGTGTACCATGATGCCAGTGTACCATGATGCCAGTGTACCATGATGCCAGTGTACCATGATCCCAGTGTACCATGATGCCAGTGTACCATGATGCCAGTGTACCATGATGCCAGTGTACCATGATCCCAGTGTACCATGATGCCAGTGTACCATGATGCCAGTGTACCATGATCCCAGTGTACCATGATGCCAGTGTACCATGATGCCAGTGTACCATGATGCCAGTGTACCATGATGCCAGTGTACCATGATGCCAGTGTACCATGATCCCAGTGTACCATGATGCCAGTGTACCATGATGCCAGTGTACCATGATGCCAGTGTACCATGATGCCAGTGTACCATGATGCCAGTGTACCATGATCCCAGTGTACCATGATGCCAGTGTACCATGATGCCAGTGTACCATGATGCCAGTGTACCATGATGCCAGTGTACCATGATGCCAGTGTACCATGATGCCAGTGTACCATGATGCCAGTGTACCATGATGCCAGTGTACCATGATGCCAGTGTACCATGATGCCAGTGTACCATGATGCCAGTGTACCATGATGCCAGTGTACCATGATGCCAGTGTACCATGATGCCAGTGTACCATGATGCCAGTGTACCATGATGCCAGTGTACCATGATGCCAGTGTACCATGATGCCAGTGTACCATGATGCCAGTGTACCATGTTCAAAGTTTCAACATTGATACACATGAAGTAGACATGCCAGTGTACCATGATGACAGTGTACCATGATGCCAGTGTACCATGATGCCAGTGTACCATGATGCCAGTGTACCATGATGCCAGTGTACCATGATGCCAGTGTACCATGATGCCAGTGTACCATGATGCCAGTGTACCATGATGCCAGTGTACCATGATGCCAGTGTACCATGATCCCAGTGTACCATGATGCCAGTGTACCATGATGCCAGTGTACCATGATGCCAGTGTACCATGATGCCAGTGTACCATGATGCCAGTGTACCATGATGCCAGTGTACCATGATCCCAGTGTACCATGATGCCAGTGTACCATGATGCCAGTGTACCATGATGCCAGTGTACCATGTTCAAAGTTTCAACATTGATACACATGAAGTAGACATGCCAGTGTACCATGATGACAGTGTACCATGATGCCAGTGTACCATGATGCCAGTGTACCATGATGCCAGTGTACCATGATGCCAGTGTACCATGATGCCAGTGTACCATGATGCCAGTGTACCATGATGCCAGTGTACCATGATGCCAGTGTACCATGATGCCAGTGTACCATGATGCCAGTGTACCATGATGCCAGTGTACCATGATGCCAGTGTACCATGATGCCAGTGTACCATGATGCCAGTGTACCATGATCCCAGTGTACCATGATGCCAGTGTACCATGATGCCAGTGTACCATGATGCCAGTGTACCATGATGCCAGTGTACCATGATGCCAGTGTACCATGATGCCAGTGTACCATGATGCCAGTGTACCATGATGCCAGTGTACCATGATGCCAGTGTACCATGATGCCAGTGTACCATGATGCCAGTGTACCATGATGCCAGTGTACCATGATGCCAGTGTACCATGATGCCAGTGGTACCATGATGCCAGTGGTACCATGATGCCAGTGTACCATGATGCCAGTGTACCATGATGCCAGTGTACCATGATGCCAGTGTACCATGATGCCAGTGTACCATGATGCCAGTGGTACCATGATGCCAGTGGTACCATGATGCCAGTGTACCATGATGCCAGTGTACCATGATGCCAGTGTACCATGATGCCAGTGTACCATGATGCCAGTGTACCATGTTCAAACATCCAACATTAATATTGTTTGTATTGAGCTCACCCCCAGGTGTGATGAACATCAAGTCCTGCTCCTGTAGCGGCTCCTGCGAGTTGAAAATGTTGATGGCTCGCGTCATCTCAGCCTCAACTCTGCGCTCGTGCCAGCGCTCCGATAGGCGCGTCAAATACTGGAACAAGATGACCGAGGCTATGATAACCACCAAGACAGAGACAAATCCTACAACCACCACCACATGCAGCTCAACGCCGGTAATGGGCAACTCCTCTGAAAAAAGAAAATAATTTATTTGTAATTTAAAGTTCATGACTGTCCATGAGGCAAGGGAAGTAAAGTTCAGCTGTTGCATGATCTCAGCATATGAAGTGGTCAATGCTATGCCCAGCCGCCTTTACTTTCCCCAACGTGGTGGACTGAGGGATGTTCTACTAGGTCAGCAGTCTAGTGCTTTACTGCTCACCAGCATCATCCCAGTTATTTAGTATAACACCTGACATAATCATTATGACAAAGCTAGAATATACATTTTATTTTGTAACACATGACATATTTTTAAAAAAGATGGGTCGATCTGCTTTTTTACATGATGATATTAAAACTGATCATTTCTTTCTTTACACCCATTAACATCAAAACAAAGGTGGGTCCATTTGTTTTCCAAGATTTTTAAACAAATAAGTGCCCAGTAATTTTCTTCTAAATCCAACATTTCAAAATAAAAATGTACCAATTTAACTTTTTACATCCAAATTTTAAGTCATCCAATTAACCAAATCAAATTAATTACACACTTAACTAATGAATAATCCCTGATCCACATATCAAAACCATTAATAACAAGTACCTAATTTTTTAAAATGTGTGATGTTTACACACAGGAGGAGATAAGTCACAAGTCACTAGCTTGTGTGTAAACAACTGTCACATGACATGTTCTTACCTGCAGCCGTGATGTTCATGTAGAAGTTGAAAGCAACACTTGTATTCTTGGTAATCATCAGACTGATGAGAACAAAGTTTTTTGGCTGGGCATACAAAGATCCTGGGTTTTGGGCATTACAGCTGGTAAAAAACTGGAATATAAAACATGAGACGTGACAAAATGTTCATGTAGCATACACAATATTGGGTTCATATCAAACTAGCAACTACACATATTGCTGGTAGGATTAAGTTTAGAGTTACAGTGAAGATACTAGCAACTGTCAATACTACATAACTGCTGTCAGATTTAGCAACTGTCAATACTACATTACTGCTGCTAGATTTAGCAACTGTCAATACTACAATTTTTACAATACTGCCGCTAGGATTAGAGAAAGGGTTACGTTAAAGATACTAGCAACTGTCATTACTACAATATTGCTATTATGGTGGAGATACTGTATAGAAAAAAAACGGCATTAAATATGTCTCATCATGGTTTTAATAAAAAGTTACCCAACTTTTTTTGGAAAATTTTTATCAAGATAAATTATCACCACAAATGAATCGTTGATAAATAAAGTGTCATAACAGCTTTTAAAAAGTGTATTATTTATATATTTTAAAAAATTTGTTAAAAATATTTAAAAACAGCCTAACGTAAATTAAAAAATGTATACCATTTCTCTGTTCGTTGTCGATGTTTTAAAATCATTTGTGGCTGATTCGTTGATTTGTAGTTGAACAATGCAGTCTTCAATGTACAGGAAATGAAAGTGTAGTCTTAGTCTAGTCTGACTGGAGGGGGGGACGGCCAAACCAAACTTGAGCTGGCAGCTTCTAGACAGGTCTTTGTTTTTCCCTGTGATTATAGCGTTTGTTTTTGGGGAGATCCAGTGGATGTCGCTCTTGGATTTTTCACATGCAGTAAAGTTACCCATGGATTCTGGAATGGAAGAGAAACATGGGTTTAGGATTGAGTCTAGTTAGAGTTAATGTTCAGTTCAGGATTGGCTCATGGTTTATGTTAGGTTTAGGGCAATTTTAAAATTAGACTAAGATGTGTCATTTTTGTGAATGTTTTATATTTATTAAAGCAATAAAAAGTATTGTTAAAAGTCCTGAGTGTTTGCATAAAATTTGGGCTTGCAGGGCTGCCTACCCCTAAAACATGTTTTCAGTAAGGAAAGGATCAATTTCTGCATTGGTTTGCCTTGTATGAAACTTTTGAAAGAGTAATAGTTTTCATACCTTTTGTTTTTCTATAAAAGGGAACCCATTTCAATTTTACCTCATCACAAAATTTATTGGCATTCGGCTGATACTTGGGTACATTACACATACAAATATACAAGTTTTTAAAAATAAAGAAAAGGAAAAAATGTTATCTCAATCTAAACTGCTTGTAGCTACAAAATAAGAAAATAAATTTAAATCTGCATCAAATTATATTCTTCTTTGCCTTCTTTGATTCCCAGTGGAGCTGAGTAAAATGTATTTTAAATTAAATGTTGGTCTAGTTGATGTAGACAGATTTTTCTTTCTATCTTTCTTTATGAATTCTTTATTTTCACTGAATAATTGACAGACACAGACAATGTTACAAACTGTAGCTTCCTCAGATTAATGTATAAGGTAAATAAGTAGAGGGGGGGGGGGGGGGTGGAAGCAGGTGTTGGGTGAACTCATTGCACATCAACCACCAAGCAAAGTCAAGAATGTAATTAATTATAATTATTTCATGAAGATGATGATAAGCTGATTATTTGAATGATAACAACAAGGATGAAATTAAACCTACCATATATAGTGGTGGTGTCAACATAATGGCCTTGACTCAATGCAATCAGATACAATGCTACAAATGTTGAGTGTCTCCATCTTAGAATCATTTTCTGAAATAATTTAAGAGATTTCTTGTTTAGTCCAAAAAAAATCAATAGCTTAATAGTTGTTAGATATATAAAATAAATAAAGGTTCATATTATCATTACAAAATCTTTACTAAATTATAAAAGCCACACATCCCCTACCCCATCATCAAACTTACATCCCTCTTAAATAATGTCACAAAATTCTAACCAAATTAGAATTTACATTTATTTTAATGTAAATAAATGTTATGGTACGTATAAAAGCTACTAACTAATATTACTAACAGATAGCAACTTTAACCTTAATTTTCTCTAACCCTAACTCTAACTGTATTGTGGGTTTTATTAATAATATATTTGATGGTTCATGGACAATACAGTATTGTATTCAAGCTCTTTTTCCTACTGTTATTGGAAATGAAATACACTGCAACTATACTTGAAGCTACCAAGAACTTGACCTGCTTGTAGGTGTTGAGGATAAATTATCTCTAAATGTACTGATGTAGATCTCACATACCACTTTACCGTTAACGTCCATATATATATATAATTCTCTTCCTGTGGACGATGCGGGACAAGACGTAGACGTGCACCGTTACTTCCCCGCTTTCCAGGCATATAGCTACCACCCCACCAATCTGGTGAGCTTTGGTTCATGACAAATGTTTACAATCGTAGAGCCGGGTTGAATTAGTGACGGCTATTTAGGGCAGATAATTTAGTATGAAACTATTTGAAACGAAGGGGAGGCAACAATTTATGCTTGATCGTTTCATTGTCGTCTGTAAACGGCTGCTTTCACTGGGCAGGGTGGGGGGGGGGGGGGGGGGGGGCGGTAGTGTCAAATTCACAAATTATGAATTGCTGATAAGCAGAAAATAAAACAACTATTTGGTGGCGTATGATACGGCGTGCGTCAGTTCATCTTGCAATAAACAGTAATCAAACTACTACGCTGCCCAACAAACTAAGTCTGTAGTCTAAAAGCCTGGTGTTTATGGTTCGTGTGGATGTCCACATAAATTTACTTTTCTTTCAAACTTACTTCCAACATTCCATTCAGCGATTTAATTACCAGTTCAGCTGAGCATTTCAAACTCCAAGTTTGACCATAGCCCTAACACTAAACATAGTGCTGACCACACTATCTCTGAGTCTTCATATGCTGAGGTCACAGAAACAAGTGAACTCTACTTCACTTGCCCAATAATATTTGACACAAACATATCACAATATACTTCTATTACAGCCTTGACAATGAGGTAACGTTTTCGTACATTAATAGCCGCGGGTGATTTTAATTTTACGTACCCAAAACGATAGATTACCCAATCCATTGATTCATTACCTACTAAAAAAAAATACGGTAATCTATCGTTTTGGATACGTAAAATTGCCCGCGGCTATTAATGTACGAAAATGTTACCTCATTGTCAAGGCTGTAATAGAAGTATATTGTGATATGTTTGTGTCAAATATTATAGATACATGAATAATAAACCTAAATCAATGGCTAAATATATCAATATAGGCCAGAAATTAACTTTAAACAGCAGTGTCTGGGAGCAAAATTTGCTATATAAACAGCAGCCATTTGTAAAATAGAGTGACTTCCCCCTGAATCTTGCGCTGTAAATCTATAAAAATAAAACTTTAACAAGATGGCTGCTATAGTAAATGAGCATGGTTGCATCTGTTGGAAATATCGCTAGTCTTCATTTATTACTGAAAAGTTTTAATATAATTATTATTTATAGGGTAAAGGAGGGCGTTAAGAGCCACACTTTTTAGCACCTGTACATTTTTAAAGATTTCTACTAATCTAAGAATTTTTTAGTATTGAAAATATGGCAAAATTATTCTAACATATCTTAACAATATAAAAATAATAACAAAGTGTATTAAATATACTTTAAATGGGTTTAATTGAACATTTATTGTCATACCCCCAAAATCAGCATTTGGGGTGAAAGGAGCCGGGCAATGGGGCAATAAGTATTATCTCCTAGTTAAGACTAACTCCGCAATAAAAATAATTAATTTCTAACCCCAAAATAGTTAATGCTGTGTACACACACTTTAACTGATACTAGCTATCACTAGGCCCCAATGGGCCCAGTCTACAATTGATACAATTGCAGGTGTACATAGGGCCTAAGCTCTAAAGTCTAGTAGTTTACAGTAGGCACATTAGTATGCCTAGTGTGTAGCTAGTATACTAGTGTGTAGCTGTCCAGAGTTAACATTCTTGTATGTAAAAAGGGGTGGTACTAACTAATCTGCCTTAATGCTTTCCCCTGATAAGCCATGTGTGCTATACATTACATAACATGACATGGAGGTGAGAAATGTTGAGGGGAGAGCAGTTGTACTGGTTTCCCCTTTGTTCTCCTTGCTGGACCCTGAGGGCCATAAATTACATAAGGAGATGCTATCTCTGGTTGGCTGAGATCTAAGAACTAAGTCCATTCTACCTACAAAGAGATAAGTTTTATGGTGGGTTAGATACAGGTGGGGGCTGGGTATCATGGGGGTGAGAAATTGTGAGGGGAGAGCAGTGGTACTGGTTTCCCCTTTGTTCTCCTTGCTGGACCCTGAGGGCCATAAATTACATAAGGAGATGCTATCTCTGGTTGGCTGAGATCTAAGAACTTAGTCCATGTTACCTACAAAGAGATGAAGTTTTATGGTGGGTTAGATACAGGTGGGGTCTGGCTTTCATGGAGGTGAGAAATTGTGAGGGGAGAGCAGTGGTACTGATTCCTCTTTGGTCTCCACCCTGGTAGACCATGAAGGTCATATATTACATAACATGCCACCCCAGATTGTCTGAGATCTGTAACTGTAATCCATGTTACCTACAAAGAGATGAAGTTTTATAGTGGGCCAGAAACTGGTGGGGGCTGGGTATCATGGGGGTAAGAAATTGTAAGGGGGGAGCAGTGGTATTAATGTGTCTGTTTACTTCCCTGCTGGACCATGAGGGTCATAAATTACATAACATACCACCCCAGATTGGCTGAGAACTAAGAGCATTTATTCCTGTTACCTACAAAGAGATTAGAAGTTTTATTGTTGGTTAGAAACAGGTGGGGGCTGAGTCGGCTGTATTGCCCCTTAGGGGTAATAAGTACATGTACCATTTTAAAAATTACCTTGCTAACATCAGATGGCTGAATTTTTACTTTTTAGCAGGTTAGAATTGTATTTCTATCATTTAGACACAAGTCTGTTTAACAATTAATACATTTTGTGTTAACTATTCCCATATCAGTGTCATATTCAGTGGTCTAATAAATGAGAAACTTGCACTTAGGGTTTCAAGAGCCACATAACAGTATCTGTTATAACTTTTCTAAACAGGCAAGCTAGTGGACAAAATTAATGTATTCATGTAGATTTAGTTATTATCTAACAAATAAAACCATTATGGCAATGATCAGTCAAGTTTTACTCTGATAATGATAAAAACTTTATAGCATGGTAAAATGGGACAAATACCGGCCATTTTGTTTAGGCACCAATAATCACTGTGCAAAAAAAATTCACCAAAATAAAACTATTCTAGCCATAGCTATAAAAATAGTGTTAAAATGTACAACAACCAATGCTCTAATACAGGAACAAAGAATGGGCTTGAAAAACTCATTTGGTTTATTACAAAGTGAAGTTTCCCAAGTTATGTCTATTTGGAAAAAAAGTTCACAAAATGGTTTTATGGAGATGAGAAATTTTAGGGAAAGGGCAGTGGGGTTAAATCCTGTCTCATCCTCTCCCTATTGGACCAAGTGGGTCATAAATTACATAAAATGAATCCTCTGCTTATCTGTTATCAAAGAACAGCAGTGGTTATTACCTCAGAAGTAGATTAGCAGTGTTACTGGGGGTTTTGTGGGGGTGGGGTGTTGATTGGGGCTTAATACCACACGGCTCTTAACGCCCTCCTTTACCCTAATTGTTTAAAAACAGGTAGGCCCCTACCCCTACATAAATGAAACAAGGAACCATTTTTGTATTTTTCAAAACATAAATCCTCCTCAAAATGTGAAATAATTATTAAAATGTAGGGAGTCACCTGTTTTTCACATTACTAGATCTAGTCGCGGGTGATTTTTTTACGTACCTAAAAACGATAGATTACCAAAAATACTAAAATACTAAAAAAAATAGGTAATCTATCGTTTTGGGTACGTAAAATCGCCCGCGGCTATTTATGTACGAAAACGTTACCTCATTGTCAAAGCTTTAATAGAAGTATATTGTCATACTTTTGTGTCAAATATTATAGATAAATGAATAATAAACCTAAATCAATGGCTAAATATATCGATATAGGCCAGAAATTAACTTTAAACAACAGTGTCTGAGAGCAAGATTTGCTATATAAACAGCAGCCATTTGTAAAATAGAGTCGCTTCCCCCTGAATCTGGCGCTAAAAGCTTATAAAAATAAAACTTAGACAAGATGGCTGCTATAGTAAATGAGCATGGTTGCATCTGTTGGAAACATCGCTAGTCTTCATTTATTACGGAAAAGTTTTAATTCAATTGTTTAAAAACAGGTACATAAATGAATCCAGGAAACATTTTTGAATTTTTAAAATCATAAATCCTCCTCAAAATGTGAAATAATTATTAAAATTTAAGGAGTCACCTGTTTTTCACATTACAAATCGCGGGCGATTTTACGTACCCAAAACGATAGATTACCAAAAATACCTACCATTCGCAGATTCTAGACTAGATTTAGTCTTGTTCCCAAGTTTTCATTATAATGTCGTGACAAATACAAACTGTGCTAACGTCTATAAACAATAAATAATACATCAATTAGATCTAGATCTAGCTCTCAACTAAACTTTACTAGACTAGAGATTTAGATCAAACCCATTTCTTTTTTTTTTTTTTGGCCTACATTGTTTATCACGGAAGTATCCCTATTTATAATCTAAGAATATTTTTTTTTCGTTTTCTTTCTTTTTATTAAATCTACATTATTGTTTCTACTATGCATAGTCTAGGTTGATTTACTTTTGTTTCTGTTACGGGGTTTGATAAAAAAAATGGGATATTAAAACAGTCTAAAAGATCATTAAAACCCCTGCTGGAGGAGTAACAAGCAAACATACAACTGTTAAAGACTAAAGTGGGGAAAAATCTAACAATAGAAACTAAATATGACAAAATTTCCTACGCACCATAGTGGATCATCAGTCTTCTTCATATATTTATTACAAAGTTCTAGGTTTTAACAAAAGTGCTAGCATCCACCATGTACCATCTATCATTATCAGAGTTTCTTTTAGGTATCTCTTGGGAGGGAGGGGGCGCCCCACCACCGGAGATTGTCTCTCCTTCCCCCCCCCCTCCCCCCCCCCGAAGAAATAGAAAAAAAATGTATCAAGAAAATACTACCCGCCAAATATTTCAATTGCCCCCACCTCCCAAAACCACGAAAAGTGTTCGAAAGAAACACTTATCATCAAGGAAGATACTATAGAGCTGTATGACTTTCCAGGTAAAGTCATTGATTTAGGCCTACTAAAAGACATGTATTGTAGTTGTACTCTGATAACCATTGCTGTGTGCGTAAAAATCAGCTAAATAATAGCCCAATTTAGGTCAAAAGTAAAGTCTGCACTATCAAATCCATCTTCGCTTCCTGATTTTTTCATCAGAAATAAGTTGCAAAAGGCCAATACCCGCTCAAAAGGATGTCACAACGTTTCCACCGACTTTAAATAGCCATACATTTAAATTTAAAGTTTTAATCATGTAATTCTTTAAAAAAATCAAAATATTAGGTGCGTCACATTTTTTCTTTACATTTTCTAACGTAGCAAATCGTCACACAAGACAGAACCCCCCCCCCCCCCTCAGATAAAAAGTTCCCTTTCGAACCTGATGGTCAATGGGGCAAATGAAGTAGGCTACAGTTCACCTGTTTCTGTGAGCCCAGCATATGAAAGGGTAGTGTGGTGAGCATAATGCCCAGTCGCCTAACGTGGGTCAGGTACCCAATCAGAGCTGGGTGAACTCAGGAACGCTGTACAGATTTGAAACCTGGTTCAAACTCGAGACTTTCAGGTTAGAAGCAGTCGTGGGCTTTAGTGTTTCTTCCAGATTTTTTTTCTCGGGGGGGGGGGGGGGCACTTGAATTTTTTTTTGGGAGGAAAGGGGGGGAGGCGGACTAAAATTTACGGGGGGGGGGGGGGAAGCAGACACTGGTAAAAGTATATATTTTCTATATAAATTCTATTTTGTTCGGGGTGGGTGGGGGTGTACGTTTTTTTGCCCCCCCCCCCCCCGATGAGATGCCAGTAAGAAACTCTGGTATGCTCCACTATTCAATCACGCCGTCCCATTTCGCCTCAGAATTCAATAGTTGCCTTCATTTGTATAGCTACTGAGTTTCCTAAATTAAATAAAGCTTTCGTGTTTTTGGTAGATCTTGAACAGAGAAATGTCACAGGACCTCATCCGAGTGGAAACATTTCACAAACACGAGTTTGCCGTCTGATGATCCATCACAAACTATTAGAGATCTATGTGAATTTTTGTGTTTAGTTAGAAAAAAAAAACCAAGCATTTATTTAACTGGATTCTTCAGTCAAGATGTCTGCAGTAGGTGAGTACTTTGCAAGCCTAGAAGTCTAGGTCGGCGGGATCTTTCACACAATTAATCTCAACCAATTTGTTTTAAAGTAGGAAGATATGTCAAGCTCTGGTGACAAAGCAATTTTCTATCGATTTGGACATAATTAGATCCAGATGTATAAATACTTTGTTAAACTGGCAATGAAAAGTAGTGGCAAGGGGAGACAATTTGGAGGGATAAATGAGAGGTAAGCTGTCAATGTGAAGGCATGTTTTAATTTTTTTTTGACTCGTTCACAAAGGGGCAGAGGCGTAGCGACCCTTCCCGGCGCTCGGGGACAAACTTTCGATTTGCACCTCCCACTCAAACTTTCAATTTGTTTTTCCAACCCATTTTGGCGCCCCTAAGGTTTGCGCCCGGGGTCATGTGTCCCCCCCCCTCGCTACGCCTCTGCAAAGGGGATACTATTTTCGTTGTTCATGGAATCTTTGCTGAATTAAAAATCTTATTTCTACCTGTAGACTATATATATATATATATATATATATATATATATATATGCATAAATATGCATATGTATATACACTATCTATCTACCTACCTACCTACCTACCTACCTACCTATCTATCTATCTATCTATCTATCTATCTATCTATCTATCTATCTATCTATCTATCTATCTATCTATCTATCTATCTACTGTTTTTACTATAAACTAGACCCATGATTAGAGAGAGGTTAATTTTTTTTTAAAACTGTTTTAATGCATTAAAAAGTTTGCTATTTTAAAGGGTTTTATTTACTTTATTTTAAAACATTAAAAAAAAAAACCCATCTACCTGATACATTTTATTAGCTTATTATAACATTCATATGATTTACACTTCAGTAGAATCTAAGTAATTCAATTCTTGCATGATTGTCTTAGTAAAACGCAAATAAAAATTAAAACAATATAGTTATATCATAATAAAGGGTTTAATTTTAACTAGGACATCAATTTTAAATACATTATAATAATAGTATATAAATTAAAAAATACTTGCTATATACACTTTGTTTGTAAAGAATATAAACACCAAATAATTCTAACAGCATGCTAGCTTGCTCACAATATACATATTCCAATATGTACACATCATCTTTAAATATATATCCTAGAAACAAGAAGCAAAAACCCATTTATCCTCTAACTGTTGCACCAAATCCTTGTATTCAACTACCTTAGATAGTTAATTTAATTAACTAAGTAACTCATTTAGCAGATAACAAATTCTTTCTTCCTCACTGTCAAAACTTATGTCAAATGTACATATTGGTGGAAAAACCATTGTCCTATTATGGATTGTCATATCACTTTTTTAAATACAGTAGCAATCTTGCAATACAACATGCTGAAAAAATGTTAATAGAATGTGATATATAGAAAAATAAAATATTTTCAGTTATTACATATTTTTACTGTCTCATCAGCAAAAAAGTTAGGACTCAATGCTATTTTCACAAAGTACTAATAAAAAAAGTATTTAGATAAAAGTAAACTAATACAAACACATCAACTTTTATAAGACACAATTTTATAACTATACAATTATAACAATATGAGCATTAAACATTGCTTTGTTAATCATTGTTGTTAAATGTTGCATTGTAGCTACAGAAGTTAATTAAAAAACATGCAGTAAAGAAATAATGGTAACATATAACAGGACACAACTTCAACTAAAAAAAACAACAAGCACAAACACTTTGAAGAAAAAGAACTTACTGTACAATGTGTAGCTTGCAATTATAAAAATACAGAAATAATTGTAGCGTAATTAAAGATTATTTATTTTAAAAAAGTAATAAGCAGTTTTAAACAACAACTACAGCATATTTTTTGTTGTTGAGATTTTGTAATTTAAGATCTTTATTTGTAGTAAAGATGTGGACAAATATAAATGGAGGCACAACCTACAGATTCTAGTAGTACTACAGGTTAGTACCTAGACTCTCCATACTTGATTTATTTAAAATCATGGTAACTAAGTATTTTATAAAAATTAATTGAAGATGCTTCAATTATTTTACATTAAAAATGATCAGGTGCATAGTTGAGGAGATTATCTAATACTTATCATTTTGAGTCAAATTTTTGAACCCTTTAAAATGATGTTACTATTTTTCTTATCTACGTTTTTACAAAGATGGAAGATATTTATATGTGAGTAAACAAATCAATGTCATTAGTGTATACATCTTAATCACATGACTCAAGTCCTAAGAAGACTTTCCAATGAAACAATATAAATACATGGCATAATATCAAGAGTTAAATCAGGGTAGATTGCTTGAAATGATGCATAATGAAAACATGACACTGTTGTCAAAGTGTATCTATTGAGCAAAGAAAGTATGGAATTGTGAGCTATTTATCCTTGATGTTTCGTTTACAGCCATGCCTTTAATTAAACAAGAATATAAAATTAATGAGAGGCCTAATTTGAAATGTTATCAAAAACAATTATCTAGCAAGCCAAAACAGGCTGTTTTCAATTATATTTAGAAGTGTTGATGGTTTAAAAAAAAATAGAGCAATTGAAATTTGTTGTCAAAAATAAATCTTTTTAAGTATTAAAGTATCATTTAACTTTGAATAACAGCTCTTAAAATAAGTTCATAGCATGAATACTTGCACAATAACAACAAGCATATAAAATCTAGCCCTACGATGTTAATGTTAATGAGCTTCAGATAAAATGTATTAGCCTGTTACACTATTTAAATTTGTTTTAAAAACAGTACACATTATTTGAGATAAACTTTTTAATTGATAATTTTTAAAGTATAAAAAAACAACTTTCTAATTTTTTATTTAAAAAAATCCCACACAATATTTCTAATGAAAAGATAAAATAAAATAAACAAAATCTGTAAAATTAGGCAAAACTTAAGCAAATACAAGTTAAAAGTTAACAAATAATTGGGCATGATTGGCATAAATGATAAATTGGCAACTTGACCAGGAATGAGCAGATATTTAAAATAAAAATGGCTATGAAACAATGCATAAAGCTAAAGTTCTGATTAACACTGCTAATAAAATTGTCCTGAGAAGATAGGATTATAGCCACACAAAAAAAACCCTGTTGGATGAGCAAACGTCAAATCTATTTAATGTAATTAAACAAAATATATAAAACTAAAATTTAAATTAAGTAAACAAAATCTGCTCTGTCTGTAACAAAATTATAACAAGCTATGTAAATAATAATTAGTATATTATGCATACAAGTAAATTAATCTGTGCTTTATGAATTAATTTGACTCAAACAATTATTATTATTATTATTATTATATGTATAAGACTAAACAATAAAATGAATATTAACTAGAAAACTTCAGTCATTCTAGAGGGACTAGATTTAAAACATTGTAACTTTAATTGAGTATTTGGTTTAATGAGGCATGTTAGTCAGTTGAGATGTGTAGTTACAAAATGCACATAAAACATTTCAAAGCTTTTCTTAAATTTCAAGCTACCAAAAAATAGTAAAAGACATTCTTCTTTTGCATATATGGTGCTTCTTTTTCTATTAAAGAAGTCTATTTATTGCTAAATGAATATAAGATTTGGCTAACACTTTATTGGCTTCTTAACTAAGATGCTGAGATCAGTAAAAGGAAATAGCATTAACCAAATAAAGAGCATGAACATATTTGTAAAAATTACAATAAAATGCTGTATATTTAGGTTAAATATGATGCTTTGTTATGAAAAATCTTTAACTTTCTCTAATTTTAACTCCCTATATTAAAATAAAAAAGACATTCAAGTTTGTATTTGAAGTGTGCTCATGATTGATAGGATAATAAGATATTTGTTTTAATGACAAGTCTCGCAACAACAAACTTGTAGCTTTTACATTTATAAAATAAATGCCCATGTGAGAATAAATAGCTATTTCTCCTAATTATTGTTATCCATAAACACACTTTAATTTTCTTAGAGTAATGTTAAATGTTGTAAAACAATACTGAAAATATACACTACTGGCCGTTTCATCCTTTAAGTCAATTAATAACATTCTTTAAACAAGACATGATAAGAGTTTAATCTGTAAAATACGACAAAATGTTTTTAAAACAATAAATTAACAACAATTATGCTAGTATAACTTTTCTATGTTTAAAACATTTACAAATACAAGCAATGCATCTATACATTGATATAAGTAAAATGCAATTGGCTGATTACAAGTTTTGAGGCAGTGATGTAGCTGAGCATTTATTTCAAGCCCAAAAATAGAGCTTTAAAATCTTTTAAATAAAGATATCTGAATTGATAAAAATAGTAATACTCCATTTAAATGGACATAAATGTTATTACACTCAATACTGTTAACACTATGTGAAATATGTTTGAATCAGTTTGATTACTTTTACTTAAAATTAGCATCAAGTTGCATAACTTGCTTTTTTGTGCAATTATAAAAAAAATATGAAAATTCAAAACAAGTTATTAAGTACCGATCTATGAGTGATATCACACTCTTGTTGGGGGGTGAGTGGTATGAACTTTTGCATTTTGAAAAGCCTTTTTTGGCACTTTTAAAAGACTTTTCTTTTGGTAAATTGCAATAAGAATTTTGTAAATATACCCAATGTTGAAGTTCTGCTCTGTAACTACTTTTTAAAGAAAACAAATAATGTTATTTGGGAAAGGGAGGGAGTAGGCTGAAGTGTGATGTCATTATAGGGAGAAGGGATCTTACTTATTAAAATGATGGGAAGGGGAGGGAGAGGTAAAAGATATTTTATAAAAAAGTTGTGGTAATTTATGGACCACCCTTTATGAATATTCACTTCAGTAGAGTGCAGTTGTGATATTAATTGCAAAAATAGGTAATATTGTTCAATATCCAACAGCATATCTATTCATAGCAAGGCAAATGTATGTGAGAAATACTGAATTACTTATCTATTTGTGAGTGAAATGATTTGGCCCCACAAACAAATATTAAGCTTAAAGATTCCTAAGCCTCAAAGTATCCTTTAAAGATAGGAAAATATAATAGTTATTGTCAGATTACTATAAGTAAAAGAAATAAATATATTGAAATAAATTAGACAATTGATGCATATTAGACAATAATTTCAAAGATGATACAAAATGTACACACCATAAATTCCTAATAAAACTCAGAAATTTAAACAGTTTACATTAAGAAAAAAACTTTCAAGCTGACAAGGGGTTATGCACAGTATTTTTCACAGATTAAAAATATTGACCTACAAACCCCACAAAAATTTGGTTAAAATGATTTATAAACATACATTTATAAAAAGGTCCATTGACAGAAGCATAATAAAATGTTCAGTATTATGTTTATCAATATTTTTCATAATGTAAGCAAAATTTTGTTTTTTTCTCAAATTAGTTAAACTTTTGAGTGAATAAAAAAATAGCAGCCACATATTTACATGAGATACTTTAGGAGAAAACTACAAGCCTACAGTTTCAATAGTCTTATTTCACAAACTAGATAAAATCTATAGGCCTGGTTTCCATCTTCTTTCAAGGACAGAAAAAATTCTTTTAAATGCCTTTAGTTTGAACAGCCTTTCCTTGGAGAGAATATATATTTTTGGCCTTTTAGGGTACCTGAGATCTGCGTAGCACCAGCCATTTGAGAAGAAGCACCTGATTTTTCATCAGTATACAGTTATCCTCATACTGAAGTTGTATATTTGCTCGGTCAGCTCATCACAGAGAATATTTCTCTCACTATTGATGAATCTTTTGACAAAAGATAAACAAGCTGAAACTCATTTTAAAACTTCTAGTTTCAGTCCAATGCTTAAATCAGTTGAACATTTTCCACAATAGCCTCCACACACACCCCTAATTATTTGTCCGTCCTGTAGAGAAAAAAAAAGTTTGTTTCAACATTCTGTAAAAACTAAACACCTATTTTAACTTGTGAAGGTTTCTTTAAATATTGAAAAGAAAGTCTGCACTCACTCGTAACCTCCATATCCTTTGGGATGCTCTGTTACCTTGAAGATTCCATGTAGTATTAACTGACACAATAAACCCAGTATCTACTAAGTTAATGCTGAACCTGCCCTGAAATCACAATTAAGAGATTAATTACTAAATGTTTAAATATTGCATTATACGGTTTTGAATATTGAAATAATGTGATGTTTTAATATAACTTATTCAGATTATATACATAGTTTACATTTTTACTAAAAAAAAAATACCTGGGGACAATTGCTAGAACTGTAACAATCTCCAGCTGTTGCAAATGGTACAAAACTTCCCATGTGAGTACTACTGAACTCAGCATCTGTAGCTGAAAATTTTAAACCACAAATTAATTGTTTAACAAAGATTTAAATTTTATTGCAGAATGTTAACTTTGTTAACTCTAGTAAGGTGAATTGATCATAAAGAATTCTAAAAAAACAAACCCAAAGAACTGCTGTATTTTTAACTACATAGAGTTATAAACTTACGTATGATTGTAAGTGTAGATAGGTCAATTCTGATTTTGGAAAAAGATGTATTTCCACTCTGTTCATAAGGCTTTTTAAGGCATTCTGGGCAATCTACATCTGGACGGAGGCCATTAAAAGGGCAAGTGTTGGGAGTTTTCAGCCTAAAGAAGTTTAGATATAAATTAGTTAAAATTGACAGGTGTCAATTTCACACATCTAGATATGTATGTATATAAATATTTTACTTACTTCTTGTCAAACATCTCTGAGTAATTCTCTCCTGGACCTTGCTTTAAAGAAATATACTCTTTAGGGTGCTTCTTCTGCATGTCCTTACAATATATCTAAATACAATAGAGAAATATGAATAGTTGTTAAAGTTCCAAAGACATGCTTGCTATAAATGGATTGCAATACAATAAAGAGTTAATAAAGAGTTATTCCTTTTTAAAAAAAAGGGATTTGAAGCATGATTGCCCAGAATAAGAAAACTAAACACTTACCTTGATTAGCTGATCTCCTATTTTTAATTGGTAGTCTCCATCTTTACGAATGGTTGTAAGTTTTTTGAATTCCCTACATGAAGTAGCATAACCTGAAACAAAAACACATGGATTAAAAATGTAAAATTGACAGCTAGTGTTTACATGTTTTAGAGTTGAAAAATAGGTTCCAATAATTTACTCACTATGAATAATCTCAAAATGTATTTCGAACAAAGAAACAAATGTACTAAATTCTAAAACCTAACATGCTATTAAATAAATATTTGGAAGAAAAACTTTGCAATTTTTAAAACAATGATTATTTTTCTGCCTTTTTATTGTTGACTTACAATGTCCATTATTACAAGGCCGAGTTCTCACAGGCTTAAAAAGGGGTAGACAGTTATTCCGCTGAGTTTTATGTCTGTCTTTATCAACACATGTAACCTGTCTAAATTGTTTACCATTTCCACAATCGGCAGAACACTGTAAAAGATTATGTAGGTTTTAATAATAAGCTTAATTAAATAAAAATTAAAAGGATATTTTTTTTTGCATATGTGTTGCATTAATTAACATAGTAAAATACTGGTAAAGGGAAATAAACAGTCCATGCAGACATTTGTATTGTAGATGTTTTATATGGCACTATTACTATTTTAAAATACAGAGCAGTGTGAATGTCCATATAGAAATAAAAAGCAGCATATGTTACAGTTAAACATACTTTAAAGGACAAAAGATAGTGCTGATTTAAGAATAATGTGATTTTTAATACATTCTGTGTCAAGATGAGAAATAAAGACACAATATAGCAGTGAACTTACTTTAGACCATGACCCAACTGTCCAGTGACTTTTAGCATTACAGTCACCATAGCTGCAATATCGAGCAGTACTAGGTTTTTCTTCAGGTCTGCATCCATAAAGAACCTCTCCAGGTAAGATCCAGCCTTCCTTTGTGACTGCTTGACACACCACTGTCCTTAGTTGTTTCCCCTCACCACAAGTAGAAGAGCACTAAACATTTGTAACATATTTCAATTGTAAATTACCAATTTTGCTTAGTGTAATATCAATATGGCTTAGTTTTATACAAATTTGACATATTGATGTTTTGTTCTATGCAGGCAGCGCAGTAGTTGTAAACATGCTGAACAGTCAATTTGTTACATACTTGTTACTTTCTAAAGTTATTTTAAAACCAACCATTTTTCTGCCAAGTTTTATTTTTCTTTAAAGGGAATATTGGTTACAATTATCAAAAACTATTTCTATTATGTCTATAAGAAACTGTTGTGAACTAAAGTCATGAGCTTTGACATATAAGGCTTCATATTGCTGTCACCAAGACTACATTACAGTTTGTACATAAATGTTTACCTCACTCCAAGGTCCAGTGTTCCACATGTATGGACAAGGGAACTCATTGCATCTCCTCATCACTTTTGGCTTGCCTTCATTATCACACAGGTGGGATGACACTCTGGTGGAGTTCATATCCACACAGGTCACTGACCGGTGTTTACGACCAAAACCACATGTCTTGGAACACTGTAGATCAAACAGTTAAGTTGTATGGAATGAACAAAGTGTTTGGTTTAATCAAAGTCTGATACTCTACAGTCAGACAATAATACTGTGAGATACTTGTTATGGGGTGGGGACGATGGGGGATAACTGTTATAAGAATGTAAAATTGTGTTAAGAGAAGCAAAAAAATTAAACTCCTACCTCTGACCATGCTGCCGGCACCCACTTGAATAAAGGACATTCTTTAATGCTACAAGGGGAAGATGTTGCAGGCTTGGGTAGATGTTCACAAAGTGATTTGGAAACAACTTTCTGCATACTGTCTTGGCACTGCAATTCTCTCCTTTGCTCTCCCATTCCACATTTGGCACTGCACTGTGAGTGAATGAGGCTTTAACTTAGTTCATGAATTTAAACGACTTTTAAGTGTAGGCCTATTAGAAATTTAAGTGTAGGCCTATAAGAAAAAGGTTTGAAAAAGGCAAGATTATTCTTAACAAGCAAATTCAAAAGATATGTTTGTTTTTTCTCATTAAACATTTGTGGATGTTGGATTCTGAAGTTTTAAAAAAGAGAGTTTTGAAGATTCTTAACTTTAAATTTCATCAGATCCTGTTACTTAAAAATTGAAAAAAAAAATGTTCATCTTAAAAGTTAATATAAAATCATTTTGTGAATACAGAATGTAGAGAAATAAGTGGTTTACCTTGCTCCAATTTCCTGTGTGCCAGGTGTGGCAGTTTTCTACACATTTCTTTAATGTATTTGTTTTGTTGCCACAGTGACTCTCTGATATTTCCTCGTCCTCACTGTTCACACATATCATGTGCCTTCTACGGTAGCCTTCACCACAGCTAACTGAACACTGTAATAGGATGATACTCATAATAAATAACATTTCTAAGGCTATAATTGAACTATATCAGCTAAATTTTAAATCAAACCAGTTTTAAATACTTTTAGTGTGATATATGTAAAACAAAAACAACAACAAATAAACCGGGGGTGATCTCCCCTAAACTTTCTCGAAATTTCTTATATAACATGACAGGGCATGTCAACTCGGGACATAGACAATATTTTTAATCCATTTTTAATTACTTAAACTTTAAAAAAAAAGAATAGAATCTCGTAGAAAAAAATAATTGCACACCAAGTGAACGCCAATTAAAATGTGTATAATAGTGCGGAATATTATTAGTACTTTATAAATTCACATGCGTTTTTTGAGAAATCGGAAATAGCCTATATTAGTACTTTTGATCAATGGAAGTTACTCAATATTTAATAGACGGCAGAGAGTTAGATCTTTTACTTATATGTAAAATTTCATTTATCTATCTAAAATAGTACTCAATTTATAGGCTTTTGAAAAATTGAAAGTAGAAAAAGTTCCACTTCAGGTTATCGGAAATCGCTGAAAATTTGATACGGTCTACAAATTTGATATAATACTTATATATGAAATTTCATCAACCTAGCTGTAACGGTACTGAAGTTATCGAATTTACAAACACACACACACACAGACACGATTGCAAAACTATATTTTTCCGACTCAGGGAGGTGTAAAGCGTCGAGATTTGCAAAAATCTCAATTTTTTTGTTGTTGCACGATTACAATACATTCTCTATACTTTGTATATGAGAAAGTAGAAACAAAAGAATGTGCTTAGGAAAAAATATATTTAGAGTAAAAATTAAATATCTAGAGTTTTGAAGTCATAAAGGCTCAGCTGTTGAGGCAGTAGTTTGTCATGGGTGGGGAGGGGGGGGGGGGTAGTTCCCAATTTTCCCAAAATGGAACTATTTTATATATATATATATATATATATATATATATATATATATATATATATATATATATATATATATATATATATATAGCCTATCCATAATGATTTTAAAACAATGGCTGTAGTTTAATGATCATGTGCGAACACTTTATTTTGAAAAGTCTATGAGTAACCCACCCCTCAAGTCTCAACACAATCAACACCACTGATCCTAGTTAGACCCTTAGATAATTTCATCAATTTGGTTTATATTTATATTGACTAAACTAACACTCAACATTTAGATCTATGAGTTATTCTTTTTTTTAAAATAGGGCCTACATTCTATTTTATTTTAGTTTAAAATATTGTTTTCTGCTATTTAGGTAGACCACCTCTCAGCATCTAAGTAAACATTCGAAATGCACCATTATAACTAAATTACACCACACCGCTTTACTGACATCAACAGATGGAACATTAACATCACGCTAAAATATATGCCTGGTAGGCAGAGACATTAAAAAAAAAAATTCCAGATAGAAAAGATTGATCACGTAGGCCCATAGCATTCAGACGTAAGCTTATCTTTGTTAAAAGGAATCAACATTATACAGACATTACACTCTGTTTTTAAGTTCAGTTTTTAAAGGTGTTGTGAATATAATAAATATATGTTAGTTCTTTAGTCAGAAACTAGATTAAGCGCAGAAATACACACACACACACACACACACACACACACAAGATATGTTTTCAAGTAACCAATGATAGAGAAGGCAAAGGTGATGTTTCAATTTTCCACAAAAGCATGAAATTCTAAACACTTTAGTTTTTAAACTTTAAAAAAGTATCAGTTTGCTTGAATTTTTTAACAAGGATATATCTGTCACGCCAAGACAGGTTTATTGTAGGCCTTATTATGCTTATGTAGGCAGGTTTAAACCATCGATCATAATCTTTATTGGAGATGGTTCACTAAATGGAATATCAAACTTAAATATAAGGAATACAGAGAAACAAAACGGTACCGATAAAACGTGTAAAATTACCCATTATACAATGATGTTTCTTATTTAGTAGCCTATTTTAAACTTGTTTAAAAAAACGACAAATAGTGATTTAGCCTATGTTTTAATTAACTCTGCATCATTTATTTTATTTCTCCTAATTACCAGCACAATATGGGTTTTGTGAAACATGACCTCCTGGTGAGCGCCTACCTGTCGAGGTCAGAGATGCACGGACTGAATTAAGATAGCAGATCACGCCCGGCATGAAATATAGCAATACATTTGATAGGGGTGATAGCCCAGTGATAGGCCCAGCCCAGAGTCTAGTAAAAACTCGAGTAGACCCCATGAAATATAGCAACACCTTTGATAGGGGTGAGAGCAATGAGTCTAGTAAAAACTCGAGTAGACCCCATGAAATATAGCAACACCTTTGATAGGGGTGAGAGCAATGAGTCTAGTAAAAACTCGAGTAGACCCCATGAAATATAGCAACACCTTTGATAGGGGTGAGAGCAATGAGTCTAGTAAAAACTCAGTAGACATCATGAAATATAGCAACACCTTTGATAGGGGTGATAGCCCAGTCTAGTAAAAACTCGAGTAGACACCATGAAATATAGCAACACCTTTGATAGGGGTGATAGCCCAGTCTAGTAAAAACTCGAGTAGACCCCATGAAATATAGCAACACCTTTGATAGGGGTGATAGCCCAGTCTAGTAAAAACTCGAGTAGACACCATGAAATATAGCAACACCTTTGATAGGGGTGATAGCCCAGTCAAGTAAAAACTCGAGTAGACCCCATGAAATATAGCAACACCTTTGATAGGGGTGATAGCCCAGTCTAGTAAAAACTCGAGTAGACACCATGAAATATAGCAACACCTTTGATAGGGGTGATAGCCCAGTCTAGTAAAAACTCGAGTAGACACCATGAAATATAGCAACACCTTTGATAGGGGTGATAGCCCAGTCTAGTAAAAACTCGAGTAGACCCCATGAAATATAGCAACACCTTTGATAGGGATGATAGCCCAGTCTAGTAAAAACTCGAGTAGACACCATGAAATATAGCAACACCTTTGATAGGGGTGATAGCCCAGTCTAGTAAAAACTCGAGTAGACCCCATGAAATATAGCAACACCTTTGATATGGGTGATGGGCCTAGCGTCTACCGTCTAGTAAAAACTCTAGTAGACCACATAGCAACACCTTTGATAGGCCCCATGTCTAGTAAAAACTCGACCACAAAGCAACAAATTTGATAGGGGGTTATAGGCCTAGAGTCTAATAAAAATTCGAGTAGACCACATAGCAACACCTTTGAGAAGGATGATAGGCCTAGAGTCTAGTAAAAACTCGAGTAGGCCCTACACCACATAGCAACACTTTTGATAGGGTTGAGAGCACAGAGTCTAGTAAAAAATCGAGTAGACACCATGAAATATAGAAACACCTTTGATAGGGGTGATAGCACAGAGTCTAGTCAAAACTCGAGTAGACCATATAGCAACACCTTTGATAGGGGTAGACCACATGAAATATAGCAACACCTTTGATAGGGGAGATAAGCCTAGTAAAATCTTGAGTAGACCACAGCCGGGCTATCTCACAACGACGACAACTCTCTCCGGGGAACCGGAATAACACGGCTAGCCGTGAGCCGGTTATCATATTCACGTTTTAAAAAACTGTGGGACTATCAAGTGATGGAGCGTGCGGCTACGGGAAAAAATATAATTAATCTGTGTGTCATCATGAGATTTAACGGCGCCCTGATATCGTGTGGCGTAGACCACTAAATTCTTAACGCAGCAGATGTATTCTTATGTCCCTTCTAGAAGGAAGGCACACATAGCCCAACTTCTTAATAATATGAAAATGATTGCCTGTAAGCAGTAACAAGCAGTAACAAGCAGCAAGTAATAGTTTCATCTCATAACAAAGAAAATAAACGAAAATCATTGAAATTCGCTGTGTGAAATTATAAACAAAACACAGATATTAGTAAGTTTAAAAACGATACTTTCGGTACGACACAGGATAGTGGGGATACGCGTTATATAAACCCCGCATGTCAATACACTAGTACAAACTAACTCGGAAAATTTGGGATATATTGCCAAAAAACATTTTACTACTACAATGCAACCCATACGCTTCATATCCCCGATTTAAAACGCGCACCACTGACAAGCAAAAAGCTGTCTGAAGCCAGTTTCGACAACATGGCTAGTACGAATATGCTAACAATCTCTGCAGAAGTGTGATCAGAGTGTTCTGGGCTTTCGCCATAGTTTACAAGACGCAGGTGGATGGGGGCTACATAAGGTTCAAATAAAAGAGAGGAAAAAGATTGTGTGTGTGTGGGGGGGGGGCGGTGATGCTGGCTAGACCACAGACTACTCGTTGTTACCGGGAAGGGAACGCATAAACACGTGTATACAAAATGCCCGTTATACGGAGAGCTTTTACTGCCAACCCATTACACCCTATCGCCAGGATCCATTAGCAAGCCGAGTTCGAACCTTCTACACGGAGTTTTAAAGAAATAAAAATGCCACATTAATTATTTAAGTGTATAGGCTACTAATTAAACTTTAGGGCTTTAACAAATTGCCTTCGTTAAAATGTAAGGATCAATATTCTAAAACAAAACTGTTAAAAGAAATGGATATGAAGATGACATGTTTAACGAGACTCAAAAGTTTTAAGTGTAAATAAAACTTTGTAGCGATTCCCAGTAAACTTAATAATGACCAGAATGACAGCGGGTAACCAGGCATTATGTAGTAGCCTACAGTATCAGCCTAAAGTAGGGCCTGTATATAATGTAGGCTACATTGCGATGAAGGTGAGCTGGCTAATCAGCCCGTGGTGTAACAGATGCATTCCACTAAAGAACCCTTTTTAAAAAAAAAATGCTGCAAGCCAAAGTTATCCCAGACACCGGCGGCCCGTAATCACGAGTTCACCCGCGTGCACTCGTGGGGTAACTCTTACGGGAGTCTGCTGACGTCATGGGTATTATGCAACGTATAGGATGGAGTGGGAACAGGCACACATTGTTCA